AGTACATAGATGGGTGACGGCTTAGGAATGACGTGCTGTAAGTTTGGATATGCGGGTGAAGTGTAATGGATACGGCTTGACTCCAAATTATTAATAAGCCGATTTCCCGGTACGATATCTGAGGGTTGAGCAACGCAGAGCCTGTTCGAGTACATAGATGGGTGACGGCTTAGGAATAGTTTGGATATGCGGGTGGTGTAATGGATAATGACTCAAATTATTAATCAGGCGCCGATTTCCGGTACGATATCTGAGGTTGAGCAACGCAGAGCCTGTTCAGTACATAGATGGGTGACGGCTTAGGAATGCCAGGTGCTGTAAGTTTGGATATGCGGGTGGTGTAATGGATAATGACTCCAAATTATTAATCGGGCAGCCGATTTCCGGTACGATATCTGAGGTTGAGCAACGCAGAGCCTGTTCAGTACATAGATGGGTGACGGCTTAGGAATGCCAGGTGCTGTAAGTTTGGATATGCGGGTGGTGTAATGGATAATGACTCCAAATTATTAATCGGGCAGCCGATTTCCGGTACGATATCTGAGGTTGAGCAACGCAGAGCCTGTTCAGTACATAGATGGGTGACGGCTTAGGAATGCCAGGTGCTGTAAGTTTGGATATGCGGGTGGTGTAATGGATAATGACTCAAATTATTAATCGGGCAGCCGATTTCGGTACGATATCTGAGGTTGAGCAACGCAGAGCCTGTTCAGTACATAGATGGGTGACGGCTTAGGAATGCCAGGTGCTGTAAGTTTGGATATGCGGGTGGTGTAATGGATAATGACTCAAATTATTAATCGGGCAGCCGATTTCCGGTACGATATCTGAGGTTGAGCAACGCAGAGCCTGTTCAGTACATAGATGGGTGACGGCTTAGAAAATGCCAGGTGCTGTAAGTTTGGATATGCGGGTGGTGTAATGGATAATGACTCAAATTATTAATCGGGCAGCCGATTTCCGGTACGATATCTGAGGTTGAGCAACGCAGAGCCTGTTCAGTACATAGATGGGTGACGGCTTAGGAATGCCAGGTGCTGTAAGTTTGGATATGCGGGTGGTGTAATGGATAATGACTCAAATTATTAATCGGGCAGCCGATTTCCGGTACGATATCTGAGGTTGAGCAACGCAGAGCCTGTTCAGTAGTACATAGATGGGTGACGGCTTAGGAATGCCAGGTGCTGTAAGTTTGGATATGCGGGTGGTGTAATGGATAATGACTCCAAATTATTAATCGGGCAGCCGATTTCGGTACGATATCTGAGGTTGAGCAACGCAGAGCCTGTTCAGTACATAGATGGGTGACGGCTTAGGAATGCCAGGTGCTGTAAGTTTGGATATGCATGGATAATGACCAAATTATTAATCAGGCAGCCGATTTCCGGTACGATATCTGGTTGAGCAACGCAGAGCCTGTTCAGTACATAGATGGGGAATGCCAGGTGCTGTAAGTTTGGATATGCGGGTGGTGTAATGGATAATGACTCCAAATTATTAATCGGGCAGCCGATTTCCGGTACGATATCTGAGGTTGAGCAACGCAGAGCCTGTTCAGTACATAGATGGGTGACGGCTTAGGAATGCCAGGTGCTGTAAGTTTGGATATGCGGGTGGTGTAATGGATAATGACTCAAATTATTAATCAGGCAGCCGATTTCCGGTACGATATCTGAGGTTGAGCAACGCAGAGCCTGTTCAGTACATAGATGGGTGACGGCTTAGGAAATGCCAGGTGCTGTAAGTTTGGATATGCAGGGTGTCCGTGTAATGGATAATGACTCCAAATTATTAATCGGGCAGCCGATTTCCGGTACGATATCTGAGGTTGAGCAAACGCAGAGCCTGTTCAGTACATAGATGGTGACGGCTTAGGAATGCCAGGTGCTGTAAGTTTGGATATGCGGGTGGTGTAATGGATAATGACTCAATTATTAATCGGGCAGCCGATTTCCGGTACGATATCTGAGGTTGAGCAACGCAGAGCCTGTTCAGTACATAGATGGGTGACGGCTTAGGAATGCCAGGTGCTGTAAGTTTGGATATGCGGGTGGTGTAATGGATAATGACTCCAAATTATTAATCGGGGAGCCGATTTTCGGTACGATATCTGAGGTTGAGCAACGCAGAGCCTGTTCAGTACATAGATGGGTGACGGCTTAGGAATGCCAGGTGCTGTAAATGCGGGTGGTTTGGATATGCGGGGGTGGTGTATCTGAGGTTGGATAATAGACTCAAATTATTAATCGGGTGGTGTAATGGATAATGACTCAAATTATTAATCGGGCAGCCGATTTCCCATTTACGATATCTGAGGTTGAGCCGCAGAGCCTTTCAGTACATAGATGGGTGACGGCTTAGGAAATATCTGTAAGTTTGGATATGCGGGTGGTGTAATGGATAATGCAAATTATTAATCGGGCAGCCGATTTCCGGTACGATATCTGTTGAGCAACGGCAGAGCCTGTTCCAGTTGAGCAACATAGATGGGTGACGGCTTAAGGAAATGCCAGAGGTGCAACGCAGAGTTTGGATATGCGGGCTGGTGTAATGGATAATGACTCAAATTATTAATCGGGCAGCCGATTTTCCGGTACGATATCTGAGGTTGAGCAACGCAGAGCCTGTTCAGTACATAGATGGGTGACGGCTTAGGGAATGCCAGGTGCTGTAAGTTTGGATATGCGGGTGGTGTAATGGATAATGACTCCAAATTATTAATCAGGGAGCCGATTTCCGGGATATCAGGTTGGCAACGCAGAGCCTGTTCAGTACATAGATGGGTAGCTTAGGATATCTGTAAGTTTGGATATGAGGTTGGATAATGACTCCAAATTATTAATCAACGCGATATCTGAGGTTGAGCAACGCAGAGCCTGTTCAGTACATAGATGGGTGACGGCTTGGGGAATGCCAGGTGCTGTAAGTTTGGATATGCGGGTGGTGTAATGGATAATGACTCAAATTATTAATCGGGCAGCCGATTTCGGTACGATATCTGAGGTTGAGCAACGCAGAGCCTGTTCAGTACATAGATGGGTGACGGCTTGGGAATGCCAGGTGCTGTAAGTTTGGATATGCGGGTGGTGTAATGGATAATGACTCCAAATTATTAATCGGGCAGCCGATTTCGGTACGATATCTGAGGTTGAGCAACGCAGAGCCTGTTCAGTACATAGATGGGTGACGGCTTAGGAATGCCAGGTGCTGTAAGTTTGGATATGCGGGTGGTGTAATGGATAATGACTCCAAATTATTAATCGGGCAGCCGATTTCCGGTACGATATCTGAGGTTGAGCAACGCAGAGCCTGTTCAGTACATAGATGGGTGACGGCTTAGGAATGCCAGGTGCTGTAAGTTTGGATATGCGGGTGGTGTAATGGATAATGACTCAAATTATTAATCGGGCAGCCGATTTCCGGTACGATATCTGAGGTTGAGCAACGCAGAGCCTGTTCAGTACATAGATGGGTGACGGCTTAGGAATGCCAGGTGCTGTAAGTTTGGATATGCGGGTGGTGTAATGGGATCAGGCAGCCGATTTCCGGTACGATAATGACTCAAATTATTAATCGGGGATGCCAGGTGCTGATTTTGCGGGTGGTGTAATGGATAATGACTCAAATTATTAATAGCCGATATCTGAGGTTGAGCAACGCAGAGCCTGTTCAGTACATAGATGGGTGACGGCTTAGGAAAGGTGCTGTAAGTTTGGATATGCGGGTGGTGTAATGGATAATGACTCAAATTATTAATCGGGGAGCCGATTTTCGGTACGATATCTGAGGTTGAGCAACGCAGAGCCTGTTCAGTACATAGATGGGTGACGGCTTGGGAATGCCAGGTGCTGTAAGTTTGGATGTGCGGGTGGTGTAATGGATAACGACTCCAAATTATTAATCGGGGGAGCCGATTTTCGGTACGATATCTGAGGTTGAGCAACGCAGAGCCTGTTCAGTACATAGATGGGTGACGGCTTAGGAATGCCAGGTGCTGTAAGTTTGGATATGCGGGTGGTGTAATGGATAATGACTCAAATAATATTTTCGGTACGAATCGGGCAGAGCCGATTTTGACGGTACGATATCTGAGGTTGAGCAACGACTCAAATTATTAATCAGAGCCTACGTTCTGAGGTTGAGCAAGCAGAGCCTGTTCATAGATGGGTGACGGCTTAGGAATGCCAGGTGCTGTAAGTTTGGATGTGCGGGTGGTGTAATGGATAACGACTCCAAATTATTTATCGGGGGAGCCGATTTCCTTAGATATCTGTGGTTGAGCAATGCAGACCCTGTTCAGTACATAGATGGGTGACGGCTTGGGAATGCTAGATGCTGTAAGCTTGGATATGCCGGTGGTATAATGGATAAAGACTTCAAATTATTAATCGGGGAGCCGATTTCCCGTAAGATATTTGAGGTTGAGCAACGCAGAGCCTGTTCAGTACATAGATAGGGTAGAGAAGAAGAGCACCTTTGTGAAAGTGAACGCAATGAACTATACCCCAATTCAAACTCGGCTCGATGCTTTCCTTCTCAGTGCCGATAACCTTTACGCTACGTGCACGTTCGTCGACTGAATTCTTACTATTTTAATAATGTCGATTTGCAAGTAATAAAACACTGAATAGTTCACGCCCTCAAAATTGGTTTGTTTGCCTAGATTAGACTTATTCATTTGTGTCACTGTCAGCAAAAGTTTAGAGAATCAGTGCCAATATATTTGTTAGTCTTTCACAAATTTGTCGCTAATTAAATACTGGCCGATATGATTTGTAAAGCAACGAATTTAATTTTCCTTGGTATGAGGTTATTAACTCTATCGCATTCTCTGCTCTTCACGTATTTACGTGTCATGACTTGGGGGAATATGACATGTCATTGTTCATACATCAAAACGTAAGACCATACACGCATGCGCATGTGCGTGCTTTGATTAAAGGACGAGCATCCATAAGGGACAATCATGAATGGCTCAAATTCGTCAATTGTCGACTGGATCACTGAGATAGAAAGAGGGAGAGAGAGAGAGAGAGAGAGAGAGAGAGATAGAGAGAGAGAGAGAGAGAGAGAGAGAGAGCTAGCTTACACGCAAATAATAACAAAAGATTGAGGTTCCGGAAAGAAAAGCAAACGAATGGAGTTCCAGGCACAATAATAAAGGAATGAAGATCGAGAAAAATAACAAAGGAATTGGGTTGTAAAAGAAATAACAAAGGAATGGAGATCTAGAAAAACAAAGGAATGCCGTTCCGGAAGGGATAAAGAATGAATAGGATTCCGAAGGAATAACAAGAGAATGTGGCACCAGAAGAATAAACAAACGAAAGGGATTACGATATGAATAAAAAAGGAATTCGGTTCCGGGACGAATAAAAACGAATAAAGTTTCGGTAGGAATAACAAACGATTGGGGTGCAGAAGAATGGAGGTCTTTTCGGAATGAATAACAAAGGAATCTGGATTAGGAAAGAAATAACAAAGTAATGGTTGTCCAGAAAGCGTAAGAAAAGTAAGGGGTCCTGAAATGAATAAACAAAGGAATGGTGATCATGAAAACAAGAAACGAAAGGGGTTGCGAAAAGAAAAAAAAATTAATGGTGTTCCAGAAGGCAGAAGAAACAAAAGGGTTTCCGAAAAGAATATCAAAAGAAACGGGGTCTGGGAGGCATGAGGAAAGAAAGGAGTTAACAAAGGAATAATAAATCAATGGGGTCCCAGAAGGCATACGGTTAAAAAGGGTTTCCGAAACGAACATCAAATGAAAGGGGGTCTGGGAGGCAGAAGGAAAGAAAGGAATTCACAAAGGAGTAACAAATGAATGGGGTCCCAGAAGGCATACGGATAGAAAGTGTTTCCGAAAAGAATATCAAAAGAAAAGGGGCCTGGGAGGCATAAGGAAAGAAAGGAATTCACAAAGAATAAAAAATCAATGGGGTCCCAGAAGGCGTACGGATAGAAAGGGTTTCCGAAAGGAATATCAAATGAAAGGGGGGGGGGAGGCATAAGGAAAGAAATAAATACACAAAAGGATAACAAATGAATGGGGCCTCAGAAGGTATACGGATAGAAACGGTTTCCTAATCGAATATCAAATGAAATGGGGTCTGGGAGGCACCAGGAGAGAAAGTAATTCACAAAGGAATAAAAAATGAATGGGGTCCCAGAAGGCATACGGATAGAAAGGGTTTCCGAAAAGAATATCAAATGAAAGGTGGGCTGGGAGGCATAATGAAAGAAAGGAATTGACAAAGGAATAACAAATGAATGGGGTCCCAGAAGGCCTAAGGATAGAAAGGGTTTCCGAAAAGAATATCAAATGAAAGGGAGTCTGGGAGGCATAAAGAAAGAAAGGAATTCAGAAAGGAATAAAAAAATGAATGGCGTCTCAGAAGGCATACGGATAGAAAGGGTTTCCGAAAAGAATATGAAATGAAATGGGATCTGGGAGGCATGAGGAAAGAAAGGAATTCACAAAGGAACAACAAATAAATGGGGTCCCAGAAGGAATACGGATAGAAAGGGTTTCCAAAACGAATATCAAAGGTAAGGGGCTCTGGGAGGCATAAAGAAAGAAAAGGAATTCTCAAAGGAATAACAAATGAATGGGTTTAAAGGCCTACGGATGAAAGGGTTACCGAAAAGAATATCAAATGAAAAGGGGTCTGGGAGGCATAAGGGAATTCAAAAGGAATAACAAATGAATGGGGTCCCAGAAGGCATACGGATAGAAAGGGTTTCGAAAAGAATATCAAATTAAAGGGGATCTGGGGTCATAAGGAAAAAATGAATTCACAAAAGAATAACAAATGAATGGGGTCCCCAGAAGGCATACGGATGAAAAGGTTTCCGAAAAGAATATGAAATGAAAGGGGTTCTGGTAGGTATAAGTTAAGAAAAGGAATTCACAAAGGAATAAAAGATGAATGTGTTCCCAGATGGCATACGGATAGAAAGAGTTTCCGAAACGAATATCAAATTAAAAGTGGTCTGGGAGGCATGAGGAAGAAAGGAATTCACAAATGAATAACAAATGAATGGGGTCCCAGAAAGCGGACGGATAGAAAGGGTTTCCGAAAAGAATATCAAATGAAAGGTGGTCTGGTTGGTATAAGGTAAGAAAGGAATTCACAAAGAATAAAAAATGAATGGGTTCCCTGAAGGCATACGGATAGTAAGGGTTTCCGAAACGAATATCAAATGAAATGTGGTCTAGGATGCATGAGGAAAGAAAGGAATTCACAAAGGAATAACAAATGAATGGGGTCTCAGTAGGTATACGGATAGAAAGTGTTTCCGAAACGAATATCAAATGAAAGGGGTCTGGGATGCACTAGGAAAGAAAAGGAATTGACAAAGGAATAACAAATGAATGGGTCCGAAAGCATACGGATATAAAGGTTTCCGAAAAAGAATATCAAATGAAAAGAGGTCTGGCAGGCATAAGGAAAGAAAGGAATTCACAAAGGAACAACAAAGAAATGGGGGTCCCAGAAGGCATAAGGATAGAAACGGTTTCTGAAAAAGAATATCAAATGAGAAGTAGTCTAGGAGGCATAAGGAAAGAAAGGAATTCTGAATAACAAATGAATGGGGTCCCAGATGGCATACGGATAGAAAAATTTTCCGAAAAGAATATCAAATGAGAGGGTGTGAGAGGCATAAGGAAGAAAAGAATTCAGAAAATGAATAACAAATGAATGGGGTCCAGAAGGCATACGGATAGAAAGGGTTTCGAAAAAATTATGATATTAAAGGGGGTCAGAGGCATAAAGGGAAGAAAGGAATTCACAAACGAATAACAAATGTATGGGGTCCAGAAGGCATACAGATAGAAAGGGTTTCGGAAAAAGAATAACAAATGAAAGGGGTCTGGGGGCCAAGGAAAGAAAGGAATTCACAAAGGTATAACAAATGAATGGGGTCCCAGAAGGCATACGTATAGAAAGGTTTTCCGAAAAGAATATCAAATGAAAAGGGGTCTTGGAGGCATAAGGAAAGAAAGGAATTCACAAAGGAATACCAAATATATGGGGTCCCAGAAGGCATACGGATAGAAAGGTTTTCCGAAAAGAATATGAAATGAAAGTGGGTCTGGGAGGCATAAGGAAAGAAAGGAATTCACAAAGGATTAACAAATAAATGGTGTCCCAGAAGGAATACGGATAGAAAGGTTTTCCAAAACGAATAACAAAGGTAAGGGGCTCTGGGAGGCATAAGGAAAGAAAAAATTCACAAACGAATAACAAATGAATGGGGTCCCAGAAGGCATAAGGATAGAATGGGTTTCCGAAAAGAATATCAAATGAAAGGGGATCTGGGAGGCACGAGGAAAGAAAGGAATTCACAATGGAATAACAAAAGAATGGGGACCAGAAGGCATACGGATAGAAAGGGTTTCCGAAAAGAATATCAAATGAAAGGGGGTATGGGAGGCATAAGTTAAGAAAAGGAATTCACAAAAGGAATAAAAAGATGAATGTGTTCCCAGAAGGCATACGGATAGAAAGGGTTTCCGAAAAGAATATCAAATTAAAGGGGATCTGGGAGTCATAAGGAAAAAAATGAATTCACAAAAGAATAACAAATGAATGGGGTCCCAGAAGGCATACGGATAGAAAGGGTTTCCGAAAAGAATATGAAATGAAAGGGGTTCTGGTAGGTATAAGTTAAGAAAGGAATTCACAAAGGAATAAAAGATGAATGTGTTCCCAGATGGCATACGGATAGAAAGAGTTTCCGAAACGAATATCAAATTAAAAGTGGTCTGGGAGGCATGAGGAAGAAAGGAATTCACAAATGAATAACAAAAGAATGGGGTCCCAGAAGGCATACGGATAGAAAGGGTTTCCGAAACGAATATCAAATGAAGGGTGGTCTGGGAGGCATGAGGAAAGAAAGGAATTCACAAAGGAATAACAAATGAATGGGGTCTCAGTAGGTATACGGATAGAAAGTGTTTCCGAAACGAATATCAAATGAAAGGGGGTCTGGGATGCACTAGGAAAGAAAGGAATTGACAAAGGAATAACAAATGAATGGGGTCCCGAAAGCATACGGATATAAAGGGTTTCCGAAAAGAATATCAAATGAAAAGAGGTCTGGCAGGCATAAGGAAAGAAAGGAATTCACAAAGGAACAACAAAGAAATGGGGTCCCAGAAGGCATAAGGATAGAAACGGTTTCTGAAAAGAATATCAAATGAGAAGTAGTCTGGGAGGCATAAGGAAAGAAAGGAATTCACAAAGGAATAACAAATGAATGGGGTCCCAGATGGCATACGGATAGAAAAGTTTTCCGAAAAGAATATCAAATGAGAGGGGTCTGAGAGGCATAAGGAAAGAAAGGAATTCAGAAAATGAATAACAAATGAATGGGGTCCAGAAGGCATACGGATAGAAAGGGTTTCCGAAAAAATTATGATATTAAAGGGGGTCAGAGAGGCATAAGGGGAAGAAAGGAATTACAAACGAATAACAAATGTATGTGGTCCAGAAGGCATACAGATAGAAAGGGTTTCTGGAAAGAATATCAAATGAAAGGGGGTCTGGGAGGCACTAGGAAAGAAAGGAATTCACAAAGGTATAACAAATGAATGGGGTCCCAGAAGGCATACGGATAGAAAGGGGAAACGAATATCAAATGAAGGGTGGTCTGGAGGCATGAGGAAAGAAAGGAATTCACAAAGGAATAACAAATGAATGGGGTCCCAGAAGGCATATGGATAGAAAGTGTTTCCGAAAAGAATATCAAATGAAAGGGTGTCTGAGAGGCATAAGGAAAGAAAAGAATTCACGAAGGAATAACAAGTAAATGGTGTCCCAGAAAGCCTACGGATAGAATGGTTTTCCGTAAATAAAATCAAATGAAAAGTGTTCTGGAAGGCATAATGAAAAAAAGGAATTCACAAAGGAATAACAAATGAATGTGTTCCCAGAAGGCGTATGGATAGAAAGGGGGAAAAGAATATCAAATGAAAGGGAGTCTGGGAGGCACAAGGAATGAAAGGATTTCAAAAAGGAATAACAAATGAATGGGGTCCCAGAAGGAATACGGATAGAAAGGGTTTCCAAAACGAATATCAAAAGTAAGGGGCTCTGGGAGGCATAAGGAAAGAAAGGAATTCTCAAAGGAATAACAAATGAATGTGTTCCCAGAAGGCGTATGGATAGAAAGGGTTTCCGAAAAGAATATCAAATGAAAGGGAGTCTGGGAGGCACAAGGAATGAAAGGATTTCACAAAGGAATAACAAATGAATGGGGTCCCAGATGGCATACGGATAGAAAGGTTTTCCGAAAAGAATATCAAATGAGAGGGGTCTGAGAGGCATAAGGAAAGAAAGGAATTCAGAAAATGAATAACAAATGAATGGGGTCCAGAAGGCATACGGATAGAAAGGGTTTCCGAAAAAATTATGATATTAAAGGGGGTCAGAGAGGCATAAGGGAAGAAAGGAATTCACAAACGAATAACAAATGTATGTGGTCCAGAAGGCATACAGATAGAAAGGGTTTCTGGAAAGAATATCAAATGAAAGGGGGTCTGGGAGGCACTAGGAAAGAAAGGAATTCACAAAGGTATAACAAATGAATGGGGTCCCAGAAGGCATACGGATAGAAAGGGTTTCCGAAACGAATATCAAATGAAGGGTGGTCTGGAGGCATGAGGAAAGAAAGGAATTCACAAAGGAATAACAAATGAATGGGGTCCCAGAAGGCATATGGATAGAAAGTGTTTCCGAAAAGAATATCAAATGAAAGGGTGTCTGAGAGGCATAAGGAAAGAAAAGAATTCACGAAGGAATAACAAGTAAATGGTGTCCCAGAAAGCCTACGGATAGAATGGTTTTCCGTAAATAAAATCAAATGAAAAGTGTTCTGGAAGGCATAATGAAAGAAAGGAATTCACAAAGGAATAACAAATGAATGTGTTCCCAGAAGGCGTATGGATAGAAAGGGTTTCCGAAAAGAATATCAAATGAAAGGGAGTCTGGGAGGCACAAGGAATGAAAGGATTTCACAAAGGAATAACAAATGAATGGGGTCCCAGAAGGAATACGGATAGAAAGGGTTTCCAAAACGAATATCAAAAGTAAGGGGCTCTGGGAGGCATAAGGAAAGAAAGGAATTCTCAAAGGAATAACAAATGAATGGGGTCCCAGAAGGCATACGGATAGAAAGGGTTTCCGGAAAGAATATGAAATGAAAGGGGTCTGGGAGGCATAAGGAAAGAAAGGAATTCAAAAAGGAATAACAAATGAATGGGGTCCCAGAAGGCATACGGATAGAATGGGTTTCCGAAAAAAATATCAAATTAAAGGGGATCTGGGAGTCATAAGTAAAAAAATGAATTCACAAAGGAATAACAAATGAATGGGGTCCCAGAAGGCATACGGATAGAAAGGGTTTCCGAAAAGAATATCAAATGAAAGGGGTTCTGGTAGGCATAAGTTAAGAAAGGAATTCACAAAGGAATAAAAGATGAATGTGTTCCCAGATGGCATACGAATAGAAAGGGTTTCCGAAAAGAATATCAAATGAAATGTGGTCTGGGAGGTATGAGGAAGAAAGGAATTCACAAAGGAATAACATATGAATGGTGTCCCAGAAGGCATACGAATAGAAAGGGTTTCCGAAAAGAATATCAAATGAAAGGGGGTCTGGGAGGCATAAGGAAAGTAAAAAATTCACAAAGGAATAACAAATGAATGGGGTCCCAGAAGGCATACGGATAGAAAGTGTTTCCGAAAAGAATATCTAATGAAAGGGCGTCTGGGAGGCATAAGGAAAGAAAGGAATTCACAAAGGAATAAAAAATGAATGTGGTCCCAGAAGGCATACGGATAGAAAGGCTTTCCAAAAAGAATATCAAATGAAAGGGGGTCTGGGAGGCATAAGGAAAGAAAGGAATTCACAAAGGAATAACAAATGAATGGGGCCCCACAAGGCATACGAATAGAATGTGTTTCCGAACGGAATATCAAATGAAAGGGGGTCTGGGAGGCATAAGGAAAAAAGGAATTCACAAAGGAATAACAAATGAATGGGATCCCAGAAGGCATACGGATAGAAAGGGTTTCCGAAAAGAATATCAAATGAAAGGGGGTCTGGGAGGCATAAGGAAAGAAAGAAATTCACAAAGGAATAACAAATAAATGGGGTCCCAGAAGGCATACGGATAGAAAGGGTTTCCGAAAAGAATATGAAATGAAAGGGGGTCTGGGAGGTATAAGGAAAAAAGGAATTCACAAAGCAATAACAAATGAATGGGATCCCAGAAGGCCTACGGATAGAAAAGGTTTCCAAAAGAATATCAAATGAAAGGGGGTCTGGGAGGCATATGGAAAGAAATGAATTCACAAAGGAATAACAATTGAATGGGATCCCAGAAGGTATACGGATAGAATGGGTTTCCGAAAAGAATATCAAATGAAAGGGGGTCTGGTAGGCATAAGTTAAGAAAGGAATTCACAAAGGATTAAAAATGAATGGGGTCTCAGAAAGCGTACGGATAGAAAGTGTTTCTGAAAATAATATCAAATGAAATATGTTCTAAAAGACATAATGAAAGAAAGGAATTCTCAAATGAATAACAAATAAATGGTGTCCCAGAAGGCATACAGATAGAAAGGGTTTCCGACAAGAATATCAAATTAAAAGAGGTCTGGGCGGCATAAGGAAGGAAAGGAATACACAAAGGAACAATAAATAAATGGGTCCCAGAAGGCATACTGATAGAAAGCGCTTCTGAAAAGAATATCAAATGAAAAGGGGTCTGGGAGACATAAGGAAAGAATGGAATTCACTAAGGAATAACGAATGTATGGGTTCCCAGAATGCGCACGGATAGAAAGGGTTTCCGAAAAAATATCATACGGAAGTGGGTCTGGGAGGCATAAGGAAAAAAAAGGAATGCACAACGGAATAACAAATGAATGGGTTCCCAGAAGGCATACGGATATAAAGGCTTTCCGAAAAGTATATAAAATGAAACGGAGTCTGGGCGGCACAAGGAAAGTAAGGAATTCACAAAAAGAATAACAAATCAATGGGGTCCCAGAAGGCATACGGATAGAAAGGGTTTTCGGAAAAAGAATATCAAATGAAAAGTGGTCTTGGATGCACAAGCAAAGAAAGAATTCTCAAAGGAATACCAAATATATCGGGTCCCAGAAGGCATACGGATAGAAAGGTTTTCGAAAAAAAAATATCATGTGAAAAGGGTGTCTGGGAGGCATAAGGAAAGAAAGTAATTCACAAAAGAACACCAAATAAATGGGGTCCCAGACGGCATACAGTTAGAAAGGGGTTCTGAAAAGAATATCAAATTAAAGAGTGTCTGGGAGGCATAAGGAAAGAATGGATTTCACTAAGGAATAACAAATGAATGGGGTCCCAGAAGGCATACGGATAGAATGGGTTTCCGAAAAAATATCAAATGAAAGGGGGTCTTGGAGGCTTAAGGAAAGAAAGGAATTCACAAAGGAATAACAAATGAATGGGGTCCCAGAAGGCATACAGATAGAAAGGGTTTCCGAAAATAATATCAAATGAAAGGGGGTCTGGTAGGCATAAGTTAAGAAAGAATTCACAAAGGATTAAAAATGAATGGGGTCTCAGAAAGCGTACGGATAGAAAGTGTTTCCGAAAATAATATCAAATGAAATATGTTCTAAAAGACATAATGAAAGAAAGGAATTCTCAAATGAATAACAAATAAATGGTGTCCCAGAAGGCATACAGATAGAAAAGGGTTTAACAAGAATATCAAATTAAAGAGGTCTGGGCGGCATAAGGAAGGAAAGGAATACACAAAGGAACAATAAATAAATGGGTCCCAGAAGGCATACTGATAGAAAGCGCTTCTGAAAAGAATATCAAATGAAAAGGGGTCTGGGAGACATAAGGAAAGAATGGAATTCACTAAGGAATAACGAATGTATGGGTTCCCAGAATGCGCACGGATAGAAAGGGTTTCCGAAAAAATATCATACGGAAGTGGGTCTGGGAGGCATAAGGAAAGAAAGGAATGCACAACGGAATAACAAATGAATGGGTTCCCAGAAGGCATACGGATATAAAGGCTTTCCGAAAAGTATATAAAATGAAACGGAGTCTGGGCGGCACAAGGAAAGTAAGGAATTCACAAAAGAATAACAAATCAATGGGGTCCCAGAAGGCATACGGATAGAAAGGGTTTCGGAAAAGAATATCAAATGAAAAGTGGTCTTGGATGCACAAGCAAAGAAAGGAATTCTCAAAGGAATACCAAATATATCGGGTCCCAGAAGGCATACGGATAGAAAGGTTTTCCGAAAAAAATATCATGTGAAAGGGTGTCTGGGAGGCATAAGGAAAGAAAGTAATTCACAAAGAACACCAAATAAATGGGGTCCCAGACGGCATACGGTTAGAAAGGGGTTCTGAAAAGAATATCAAATTAAAGAGTGTCTGGGAGGCATAAGGAAAGAATGGATTTCACTAAGGAATAACAAATGAATGGGGTCCCAGAAGGCATACGGATAGAATGGGTTTCCGAAAAAATATCATATGGAAGTGGGTCTGGGAGGCATAAGGAAAGAAAGGAATGCACAAAGGAATAACAAATGAATGGGGTCCCAGAAGGAATACGGATAGAAACGCTTTCCGAAAAGTATATCTAATGAAAAAAAAAAGTCTCAGGCATAAGTAAAGAAAGGAATTCAAAGGAATAACAAATGAATGGGGTCCAGAAGGCATACGGATAGAAACGCTTCCGAAAATATTATCATATGAAAGGGTGTCAGAGAGGCATAAGGAAAGAAAAGAATTCACAAATGCCTAAGAAATGAATGGGGTCCCAGAAGGCCTACGGATTAAAAAATTTTCCGAAAAGAATATCTAATGAAAAGTGGTCTGGCAGGCATAATGAAAGAAAAGAATTCACAAAGGAACAACAAATAAATGGGGTCCCAGAAGGCATACGGATAGAAAGGGTTTCCGGAAAGAATATCAATTGAAAGGGGGTCTTGGAGGCATAAGGAAAGAAAGGAATTCACAAAATAATAACAAATGAATGGGGTCCCAGAAGGCATACGGATAGAAAGGGTTCCGAACAGAATATCAAATGAAATGCTGTCTGGGAGGCATATGGAAAGAAAGGAATTCACAAAGGAATAACAAATGAATGGGGTCCCAGAATGTATACGGATAGAAAGGGTTTCGAAAAGAATATCAAAAGATTCGGGGTCTGCGAGGCATAAGTAAAGAAAGGAATTCACAAAGGAATAACAAATGAATGGGGTCCCAGAAGGCATACGGTTAGAAATGTTTTCCGAAAAGAATATAAAATGAACGGGTGTCTGGGAGGCATATGGAAAGAAAGGAATTCCCAAAGGTATAATAAATTAATGGGGTCCCAGAAGGCATACGGATAGAAAGGTTTTTCCGTAAAGAATATCAATTGAATGGTGGTCTGGGAGGCATAAGGAATGAAAGGGTTTCAGCAAGGGATGATAGTATGAGAATCGAAAGTTTTTCCGAAAACAATAACAAATGTATGGTGTTCCGATAGGCATAAGAATTGAAAGAGTTTCCGATAACAATAAAAAATAAATGGGGTCCAAGAAGGAATATGAATCGAAAGGGCTTCTACAAAGAATAACAAATGAATGGGGGTCCGGAAATCATGAGAAAGTAAAGGGTTTCCGAAAAGGATAACAAATGCATAGTGTTCCAGAAGGCATGAAAAACGAACGGGTTTCCGAAAAGTATAAAAAATGAATTGTCTTCCAAAAGGTATAAAAAACGAAACGGTTTCCGAAAAGAATAACAAGTAAATGGTGTTCCGGAATATATAAGAAACGAAAAGTTTTCCGAAAAGAAAAAATATTAATTGTGTCCCGGAAGTCATAATTAACGAAAGTGTTTCCGAAAAGAATAAATATGAATTGTGTTCCGGAAGGCATAAGAAACGAAAAGCTTTCCGAAAGAATAATAAATGAATGGTTTTCCCGAATGCATAAGACTGAAAGGGTTTCCGAAATCAATATAAAATGATTGGTGTTCCAGATGGTATAATAGACGAAAAGGTTTCCGAAAAGAATAACAAATAAATGGTGTTCTGGATGGCATAAGAAATGAAAGTTTCCCGAAAATATAACAAATCAATTGTGTTCCGGAAGTTATAAGAAACGAAATTATTTCTGAAAAGAATAACAAATGAATGGTGTTCCAGAAGGCATTAGAATCGTAACGTTTCCAAAAGGAATAACAAATGAATTGAGTTCTGGAATGAATTAGAAACGAAAGTGTTTCCGAAAAGAATAAAAAATGAATGGTGTTCCAGAAGGAATATGAAACGAAATGGTTTCCGAAAACAAAATGAATTGTGTTCCGAAAGGCATAAGAAACGAAAGGGTTTCCAAAAAGAATAACAAATGAATGGCGTTCCAGAAACCATAAGTAACGAAATGGTTTCCAGAAAGTATAAGAAATGAATAGGTTTCCAGAAGCCATAAGTAGCGAAATGATTTCCAGAAAGTATAAGAAATGAATAGGTTTCCAGAAGCCATAAGTAGCGAAATGGTTTCCGAAAAGAATAACAAATGACTGGCTTTCCGGAAGGCATAACAAACGAAAGGGATCCGAAAATATATGAGAATTGAATGGCTTTCCGGACGGAATTACAATTGATTGGGGATCCAGAAAGTGCCATCACCGATTTCATTCCAATTGTAGATAATTGTTTCTTTTTTGGAAAGTTTTTCTTCTGCCCTATTTCTTAAAACATTTTGTAGACTATGTTTTCTTTTTGATGATATGGTATGTACCCTCATTGCTTCCTTTCAATTTCAAGGTCATAGTTTCTGTTTTGGAAAGATTTCTCTTGGCCCCTACTTCTTAGAACTCTTGGTAGAGTCCGTTTTCATTTTGATGATGTATTCAGCATTTGGGCCATCATTAATTTCGTTCCAAATTCAGATCATAGATTCTGTTTTGGAAAGGGCTATCTTGGCCCTTATTTCGTAGAACACTTGGTATATTTCATTTTGAAGTTGGATTCAGTGTAAGTGCCCTCACTGTTTTTATTCCAGTTCTAGATAATTGTTTCTGTTTTGAAAAGTTTTCGCAGAGCGTATTTCTTAGACCACTTGGTAGCCGATGTTTTCATTTTGATAATGGATTCAGGGCAGATGCCATCACTGCTTTCATTCCTCTTCCAGATCATTCTTTCTGTTTGTAAAGTTTTGTCCTTGGCCCTATTTCTTAGAACACTTGATAGAGGATGTTTTCATGTTCACAATGCCTCCTATATCTTGGGGCAGAGGGTAGAGGTGCTTGATTTTCTGTTCAAGATCATTCTTATCCCCACTATCTAAACGTACGTCATTAAAATATCCAACCCCTCGTCATCAATAGATTGACCCTCACATGTGAAGCAGGATCTTTGTCTTCTGTTGATTGATTCTTTTCAGATGATATTAAATAATCATTGCCAATCTATTCATATCTCAATTTTAAAAGGCGCAAGGCTTAGTATAGGAATAGATTAAATAGACAGGGGCTGTCATTTGCTTTTGGTCGTAAACCAGATGACGTTTAAAATATATGAAGTCCTCGCCAAGGAAGTAATATTTTGAGGACAGGTAATATTCGTCTATTAGATCGACGTATCCAGTAGATTCAGAACCTGGAAAATGTTTCTTATTGATATAAGATTAGGTCCTCGTATTGACTATAAGAGTACGTCTTCTTATTGACTATATAAGTAGGTCTACTTATTGACTATTGTAGTAGGTCTTCTTATTGACTATAAGAGGAGGTCTTATTGACTATAAAAGTATGTCTTCGTATTGACTAGAAAAGTAGGTCTTATTGACTATAAGAGTAGGTCTTCTTATTGACTTGAATGGTAAGTTTTCTTATTGACTATATAAGTAGGTCTTCTTATTGACTATAAAAGTAGGTCTCCATAATGATTCTAGGAATAGGTCTTATTAACTATAAGAGTAGGTCTTATTATTGACAATAAAAGTGGGTCTTCTTATTGACTATAAAAGTAGGTCTTCTTATTGACTATATAGGTAGGTCTTCTTATTGACTATAAAAGTAGGTCTTCTTATTGACTATAGTAGCAAATCTTCATATTGACTAGAAGTGTAGGTCTTTTTATTGACTATATAAGTAGGTCTTCTTATTGATTATAAGACTAGATCTTCTTATTGACTATAAATGTACGTCTTCGTATTGACTATAAGAGTAGGTCTTCTTATTATCTATAAGTGTAGGTCTTCTTATTGACTATAAAAGTCTGTCTTCGTATTGACTATAAATGTAGATCTTCTTATTGACTATAAAAGTAGCTCTTGATATGATCATACACTGTTTAGAGCTCGATCTAGCAAGCATACTATTTTCTACTTAAGGAGTATGCACTTTTTCTAGTGTTGTTTGATGACATATATGTCATCACTGTATCCCTTAAAAAAACGAATGCCAACTTGGATCGTAAGGAGCTGGCTTTCATATAACGATGACAACGTAGTTAAAATAATATCAATTAATACTTTCGTCATGATGGATCTGTAGTGGTATGTTAGTAAGAATGAACCATTTGTAGATGTCTGTTTATTGCTGCGTGAATAACATGACCACACAATTTATATTTAACGTAAAATAACACACAACAGGAAAAACTAGGAGGAACAAAATGGTTTTAAAACAATAACGTTTGTATTTTGTGTGTATTGATGTAAATGCGTAGAAATTAAAGTTCTGTTTGAGTTATGTCCCTTAGTCTTTGAATATTTTTTATCTCAGCTCACAAAAGTTGAATTAATTATAAAGCTGAGAAATGCTGAATAAACTGTAGCTTTAGAAGAATATTTCAAAGAGAAAAGTTCTTGTTTCTTGTTTGGAAATGTTTCGTATTTTTGTAATGTCGGTTGGAAAATTTCGTACGTACGTGCATGCATGAATATGCTTTTAACGTCTGACCATTCAGGGTCGAGACGAGAATCCTTTAGAACTACATGTTGCAGCGTGAGGAGACAGAGATAAGAGAAAGCAGCAAGCTTGTGTCTGCTATTTATAATTAATGCAATCACGTGACAGGCTCACAGAAAATGGCGGGAAAACTTGACTCGGTCACGCGCTGGGAAAATATTTGTACGTGGGTGGATTGCAACGCTCACTTGTGTGTTTATTGACCAATCAGAAGCTGATTTTTCCTGAAAATATTTACTAAGCAGAGTAGGCTCTCTGATCCACTTTTTGCACAAAATTGTACAAAATTCAACATTGATAAGAAAGTGGCAGCGGGATGCTATGGATCCAATTGAAATACCCCAGTATGTATGAGGGTTATGAGGGCTACCTCTAAGTTTCCATAGTTCATTAATCCGTGATAATCTTAACTTTTGGGGGATACATTTATGATTACAGATTCTTTTCATAAAATAGAGAAACTTGTTATTGAATTCAGGGTGTAAGTAAGGCATTATCAAATGTTCAGCTTCAGTGATTTCCTATCCCTTGTTTTTTAAAAGCTTTCTTAATTTTTTCATCTACATGTTCATTATTGTTTATGTTTGGAGACGGACTTTATAATGATTGGATGAATATTGGTATATGTTCTGAAGGTATCACTTGTTTATTGTAGTTAGGGTTGAAATGTGATTCAAATTGTTTATTGAAACCAGGACATTTCTTCTGTGATAGCTTTGATTTGATGATTTTATTGTGACTTTCCGCTTTTCCTTTTTAACACATTGATTATGCTGTTTGGCTTCATTAATTTCGTTTGCAATTCACCAGAAACATTTGTTTCTCAAAGAGTTACTTATTTCTTTGTGTCAACGATTTCTACTATAGGAATTACAATACCATTTTTCCGATAGCAATTAAGATTCTAATGATATTTATTGTAGAAATTACATTGCCAAATGATTATTGTGATAGAAATTACTTCGCGAAATGATTATTTCTACAGAAATTAGATTGTCAATGGTTTTATTATAATGTTGCTAATAATATGACTGTAGGAATTACATTGACAATAATTTCTCCTATGGAAACTGCAAATGACAAATATGTTACGATAGGAATTATATTGCCAAGCTTTTGTATTGATTGATTCGTTTTCACGGTTTATCAACCCTTTGGGGTTATTTGAAGTCATAATTTTTTTAAGATTGTAGGGTTTTTTTTTAATATAATAATGGTTTGGTAATACAAATCTTACTAGTTAACACTTAGCTGGGGGAGAAGAGGTGGATTTATATGTTTCCCAACGATATTTGTGTGTAAGAAAATATAACAAAACCAACGGAAATTTAATATCGGCTCACCAATTAACAATTCCGAGTCATTATCTATTACATCACCCGCACATCCAAGCTACTGACCAGACTCGACTTTGCTTAACTTCAGTGATCATACGAGAACCTGTGTTTTAATGTGATATAACCGTAAGCCCTTTACACCACCCACACATCCAAGTTCACAGTACCTGATATGCCTAAACGGTCACCCATCTAGGTACTGACCAGGTTCGACGTTGCTTAACTTTGGTGATCATACGGGAACTCGGCTCGACGATTAATAATTCCGAGTCATTATCAATTACACCACCCACACATTCAAGCTTACAGCACCTGGTATTCCCAAGTGGTCACGCATCTAGGTACTGACCAGGCTCGACGTTGCTTAACTTCGGCGATCATACCGGAACCGTTGATTCAACATGATATGGTCATAAGACCTGTAGAAATTACGCTACCAACAAGATTTACAAGAGTAATTACATTCACAGTGATTATTAGTATAGAAATTCCATTGACAATGGTATGTTTTTAATCATATCCAATGCAAGGCAATAAAGCCACTAAGACACAAGAGGTTACTGAGTGTGAAAGAATAAAAAAAGAGAGAAACATTATAAAGGAGCGAGAACAATAGAAGAAGAGTAATCAAGAAGACAGTAGAAAACGATTAAATTTGCATTTAAATGTGTTTTCTAATCATTTCACTCCATGCAAGGCAATAAAGCCACTAAGGCAAAAAGGGGTTACCGAGTGTAAAAGAATAAGAAAAAAGAGAAACATTATGAAGGAGCGAGAACAATAGAAAAGTAATCAAGAAGACAGTAGATAACGATTGACATTGCATTTAAAATCGGCTGGAAAATACGGAACTGGAAGAGAGTTCCACAAGCGAGAATTGCGAGAAACGAAACTGTTAGCATAGATCTTATGGTTACATCTAACCAAATACATTTTGATTTGATAAGATTTTTCGGGCGTTGTGCTTAAATTCCTCAAGACAATGTACCATAACAAAGAGCAAGCACCATAAATGTATTTATAGAAAATGCCCAGGGTATCTATATTACAGCGGCGCGAAAGGGACTGAAGCCGAGATGCCAGTTCAGGACCAATAACATTGCTGATTTTTCTTTGGATTTTATGAAAAATTTCTAAAATATACAACAGGAGCAGCAAACTAGATGTGGAAGCAATATCCAATCTACGAACGAACGGTAGACGTATAGATATATAAAATCGATACAGGAGAGGAAAGCAACTTTCCTATCAGCGAATCTAGCAATTGATTCAATATAATCTTACCACTTCATGTCAGCAGAAAATGTTAGTCCTTTGTGGAGAGTCATAATTATCTTTGTCCTTAAAGGACATGACAAATTTTCAATTTTCAATCTATTAATAAATCTCTTGCATTTATTTTATGTTATAATTCTATTGTATGAAAAGATTCTATAAAAAATAGTTATCTTGTTTAAAAGTCATAATCTGAATATTGCAAGAACATAGAGCTTACGGTTACATAAAGCCAATTCAACTGAATTGGTGAGACCTAGCCGCCAGTCTAGTACTGCGCTTAAATTCGAGGTGCCATAACGAAGCGTTTATCTGAACAACTACCATAAAAGTATTTTTAGAAAAGGCACAGCGTATCTACATTACAGCAGTGGGAAAGGGACTGAAGCCGATATGCCAGGTCAAGACCAATGATATTGCTGATTCTTCTTTAGATTTTATCAAAGATCTATAAACAGATGTGTTACTATTTTTCTATTTTATATTAATTTCTGTGTTAATATACCAAATATGTTCGTTAAACACAAGTTATATATATATATATATATATATATATATATATATATATATATATATATATTGCATCTAGCATGAAACAGACTGTCGGCTCTAAGTGTCGACTTCTATGTTCACTTTTTTATATATATATATATATATATATATATGCTCAAAGAAAGCTGAAATATGAATAAGCACGCACGCAGTCACAGGAAGGTGGAAAGAGAGAGAGGTGGGTGAAAAGGAGAGCGTTTATTTTCATTTCCTTGTCTCCCCCGCCTTCTACACGATAATAAATTCATATCTTTCTTTCACCCCTCTCTGTATATGACACACAAGCAACATTCACAGACTTTTATAGTAATAAAGATATCTGTGGCAGCCTGTTGAAGGTAAGTGGTGTACAGTAATTATTAGGAGTGCTTTCCAATTTGTTTACAACTTGGTGGTAAAGATTTGTATTTTATACATGCATATAAAAAGACCTCTAGTTTTGGAAATGTTTTTTAGGCTTGGAAACTCGACTTGTCGACATTCCAATTCTTAGGCAATTTATCTTATTTTTTTAAAACGAATTTCACATCAAGAATGGAAGTATATCCATGAAGAGGTTACTGGGTGTGAAAAAAATTAGAAAATAGGAAGATTATTAAGGGCCGAGAATCATAGAAGGATGATCAGGAAGCCAGTATATAAAGATTGACATTGCATTTAAATGCTTGAAGGTTAAATTTGGTTGGAAATTTGGTGCAACCGGAAGAGAATTCCACAGGCGGAAGTGCGGGAAAAGAAACTGTTAGTATAGAACTCATGGTTACATCTGGTCAATTGAACTATGAATTGATGAGACGTTGTTGTCAAGCTGGTACTTGTTATATTAATAGACTCTCTCACCTATAATAATTAGGAGTAGTAGCAGTAGCGGAGTTGGTCAGTCAGTCGATGTCGGACGACCGTTAGTCGGATACTTAAAGTATCAGCCACCACAACTAGATTACTGCGTCATTACCTATTATATCAAGTTCCTAACTTTTTGTACGTCGAACCTATTTTAGGACCGACTTAGTGAAATACAAACCTCCACTGTGAAACTACTCTACAGCACTTGACGGCGAGGATTCGAACTCATACGGAGAAAAAAAATTCGTTCGCCATATACAAAAGTACTGCATTTAAATTCATATTTAGCTATTTTCATGACTATAAAAGAGAGAAAAATACTCACTTTAATATTTTTAGAGATTTTTATAGAAAAATTTGCTATTGAAGAAAAATTATTTCACTCTATGTAAAAAGGGATTACGACTTTAAATGTAACAAAGTTGAATAAAACTAATCTTCCATATATAATATTCTGTGACTTACGTTACCCCGTCCAACCGTCACACCCTCTAAAATAGAAATTCATTGTCCGATCGAAACCAAATTTGGAGGAGAAGTGCAAACAGGTACAAAGCACAGTTTGTTTTACTAGGGTACCTGGCTTAGAACAATAAATTTTCATTAAATATTTTGGAAAAATTAAAAGTTTTTTTTTATTTAACATACAAAATAATTTCGCTGTTTTAAAACAATTTAATGATTAAAATAACAAATACTTATTTAATAAAAATCCAATGTTGTTTTTTTGCATATATTTCCTTTAAGTTTTTATATATACAAGAATCCAGTTTCCGATTTGCCCTGCGTTTGCGAAAACTATAAACAAATAAGAAGGTCAGATGCTTCAAAAAGCTGGAATTGGGCTTCAGTAAGAAATATTTACGCATAGCCAGTTGCGTGTTGCATGCTCAAGAGTAAGAAATCCTAATAAATTATTCGCTGTTAAAAAGGGAAAAAAATTTTTTTCTTAAAAATATTGCTTACCATGAAGGCCTATAAAATTAAACTAAATTAAAAAAAAAAATTATTAAACTGTGAAGTAGGTTTTTGTGAAAGTATTTTTCCAAACAAATCAACTTATTCTAATTTCATTGATTTGCTTTCGAAATTGACGAAACGTAGAGTTTGTAAATCTTAAACCAAAATGTTAGCGATAACTGACAATAATCCTAAATTCTGCAAAGATTTCAACACGTGTTGCAAAAAATTCTAGTGTAAGCAAATATATAAAAATAATCCAATTACAAATTACGAATAGATGAAAGTAGGATGATTTATTTAAGATGGAATTATCCATTATGCCGTAACTCTTATTCATATTTAGATACATTGGATTTTGTATATATTTTCTTTACTTTAATATATTTACTCACTTTAATATTTTTAGAGATTTTTAAAGAAAAAATGGCATCTGAAGAAAATTATTTCAAAAGAAACTGTTCGCGTAGAACTTTTGATTACATCCCGCCAATTCATCTGTGAATTTATGGGACCTTGCCGCCAATCTAGTACTGAATGCGATAAATTCTTAAAGTCTAGGTACTATGGCGAAGATCCCATCCGAAGAGTTACCTTGGAAGTATTTAGAAAAAAAAGGTACAGAGAGGTAAGCTTACGGCAGTGGGAAAATGACTAAGGCCGAGACGCCAGATCAGGACCAATAATATTGCTGATTCTTTTGGGGATTATATCAAGAATCTCTAAGTATAAATCAGGAGCGCCGGACCATATATAGCAGCAATATTCTAAACATGAGGGAATGGTAGATTTATAGATAATGTAAGACAGATGCTGGAGAGAAAAAATTGTCTAGCATGACATAGTGAATCAACATTCTTAGCAGTAAGCCTATCAATAGATTCACCCGAATAGTTACGATAAATGTATTTATAAAAAAACGAACAAGGAACCTACATTGCAACAGTGGGAAAAGAAATGAAATGAGACGCCAGTTCAGAATTTTTAGTCCCTGTCTAGTACAGTGCTTCAATTCATAGCGGAAACTTCATCAGAACAATTACCATGATCGTATTTACAGAGTAGTCCCTGGGAAGCTACATTTCATATGTGGGAAAGTGACTGAAGCCGTGATACCAGGTTAGGACCAATAACGTTACAGATTCTTCTTTGGATTTTATCAAGAATCTTTAAATATATAAGCCGAGACCATATCTGGCAGCAATATTCGAAGCATGGACGAATAGTAGATATATATAGCAGATTCTGGAGAGAAAAATTGTCTCACAGGACACAGTCAGTCAGTTATATGCCATGCGTGATACACGCTTAGAGAATCATGCATCTTTCGATATATGACTGACGAGGCATATTTTTTTCCCGCAGTAGGTTACCATTTATTTCTGCGGTAGACCAGTTAGCATCCGAGGCTATAGAACCCTATCTGTCCTGCTATTTACCCATAGAAGAGGATTTATACCTTTCCATAGAGTATTACCACGTACATTTACATTATATAATAAAGCTACGGGGATGCAAGGCGTTATTGAGAATATGAGAAAGGTACTATCAAGGAGAGAGGACAATAAATTAAGAAGACAGAAGGTAATGATTGACACTTCATTTAAATGTTTGAAGATATAAGTTGAGTGAGAAGTAAAGTTCCAGAAGAGAGTTCCACAAGTGAGAAGTGTGATAGATGAAAGTGTTAGAATAGAACTTACGCTTAGATCCAGCCAATTCGACTGTAAAATGATGAGACCTTATTGGTAATATAGCATTGTCCTTAAATTCATAAAGTCTTGGTATCATAGCGAAAACATCATCGGAAAAATTACCATGAATGTATTTATAGCAAAAGTCAAAGGAAAGTTTGAGTTCTTTCATAAAATCCAAAGCGGACTCAGCAATATTATTGGCTCTGTTCTAGCGGCTCGGCTTCAGGCAGTTTCTCACCACCGTAATGTTGCCTCTCTGTGTCATTTCTCTCAGTACTTTCTATGCTAATTGTTCTGATGAGCTTTCCTCTGTGGTACCTAGACTTAATGAATTTAAACACAGAACTAGACTGCCGTCGAAGTCTCATCAATATACAGTTAAGCTGGCTAGATGTAGCCGTAAGTTCTATGCTAACAAATTCTTTTCTCGCACTTCTCGCTTGTGGAACTCCCTTCCTGCTCCATGCTTTCCAGTTAACTTTACTCTTAAAAAATTTAAATGCGAATATCATTCGCAATCTACGGTCCTCCTGATTACGCTTTCTTCTTCCCACTCATTATTAACATTTTTGTTCCTAACTCTTCCCTACCCAGTAACCCCTTGCGTCTTAGTGGCTTTATTGCTTTGCATGGGGTGAAGCCGACTAAAAAGTAAGAGGCAAGATGGACAGATGAAAATAGCGAACAATGTATGCTTAAATGGTTAGCAGAACATAGATTAAGAGGGATAGGAAAAAATCAAGGAAGTTGTGGAGAGTCATGATTACCACGTCCTAAATGGACACGGCACAAAGTGGAAGAAGAAGAAAGAAAGAAAAGGAGGCAAACTGTTACCATCCCTCTGTCTATTTATCACAACGTTTCGGCCGTTGTACGCTCCGGCCTTCTTCAGGTGGTTCTTATCAGTGCTCATGATAATAATGAGTGCCAGAGAAAAGCGATAATAACAACAAAAATCCAATATGAGCTCTGGTAAAAACATGCAATGTTAACAGCAAAAAATTGCAATATGAGCACTGGTAAAAAAATGAGTGCTGAGAGGTTAGGTATATAATACCCAGAAATTCTTACACAGATGTTTTCAAGGACACATGGCAGAGTGTATAAAGGCGTTGACAGGACCCAAAGTATTGTGAGTTCAATACCCAGTTAAGGCAGTGGAGAATTTGAAGAGGGGAATTAACTGGTGATAACTGACATCCATTAAACATGGCAACTATGTGGAACTAGAACAGTCTACACCAGTGAGCGAAATAAAGGGTTCAGATTCAGTTTGACATTCCAACCAACTGAAGAAGGCCGGATCGTAAAACGGCCGAAACATTGTAAAAAATATGCGACACAGAAAACAATAGTGTCAATAATCTCTATTCGAAAGAAATACTTTTTTCCCAAGCCAACATAAATGGCTATAAAAATTTCAAAAACAGTTAAATTCCTCATGTTATTTAAAATATAAAATACTCCCAAACTAAAATAACTTAAATATTAATTTACATCAACAAAAAATTAATTATCTTTTACTAACTTTCATTTAATCACTTAGCGTTCTCCATGAATAACCTAGACTTTTCAGCTAGCTATGAGCGTTTCTCAAATTTAACAACATTTGTGCAATTATCTAAAAATACATGTTAAAAAATAAAATCCTTGCATTAGGCTTGGAAAAGTCCCTGAGAAGACAAAACGCTTCGGCTATAAGGTTTCCTTTTGTCATTATTCACCATCGTCCTTCCATAATTAGAAAAAAATATTATGTCATAATTTAAATAGTTCATTCTATGGCCTCGTCGTATAAACAAAGGTGAGACGTATCTACAAAGCTTAATCTAATTAATTTCTTAATCATAGTTTTGGCAACACCCTATCTGACCACGATTTCAATTTTCTTCAGAGCAATTAAACGAAAAAACATCTTATATTACCGATATGATGAGATTTACCGATGAAATCATTCCACGTCCCAATGTCTCTCTTTTTTTCTTTCTATGGTTCTAATTCACTTTTTCTTCTTCCAAAGCCAGAGTTTTCTCTTTCTTTCTTTAGGTTTGTTAATAACATTAATTCTATTGTCTTTACGGTGTCATGTTTCCTCTTGGAATGCCGGCAATGCTTCTGCTAGGGCCGCAGACCACTATATAAACAGGCTGGTCGAGCAACGTTCTTCGTCTCAAATCGAGAACCTCCCTGCTCTCCGGATAGTGCTGAAGACCAGTTCTTTCGTGTCTCGTTACAGGTAAGTCTGTTTCAGTTCTTGGCGAAGAGACATGTCTTTCTTTCTTAAGACAAAGTACAGACAGCAAGCAGAGAAATGTTTTCACTGCTTTTCAACTTACCAAAACGCACCCTGCGGTCAAATGATAGAGAAATCATCTGTTCTTGTTTGATCGCCGAAATTAAGCAATGTCGAGCCCATTTAGTACTTGGATGGAGGAACACCGGATATTGTAAGCAACCTCTTACAATTCGGAACATGTTAGGACTTTGGTTTGGTTCTTTTAGTTTAGCGGCATATCAACACCTCTATGGGTTATTTAATGCCGAAATATACATATTTTGAACCCAATTATATGGTTTCAACTATATGTTTTGTATGCAATTTTATGCCTTTAACTACAGATATTTTATACATAATTTTACATATTCAGTGTAAACGTAAGATTCATAGATGTATAGTTTATAGATGGTATATTGTAAGTGTTATATGTTTTGGTATAAACCTATTTTTAAGGTAGGACATTATGTAAAAGGTTCCATTGTTTATTTGATTGATTAGTATGCCACGGCTTATTAACCCATATTTAAATCCAGATAATATTTTTGATTGTAACGATTTCTTTGAGATAATAATGATTTAGCGAATACAAGTCATACTAATTAACCCATAGCTGGAGGAGAAGCGGTGGATTCATACCTAATCAGAATTTGATAAACAAACAAGAAATTGTAATGTCGATATAAAGTGGGGGATCAATTCTACATTACAATCAATATATAAACTGATCCCTCACTTTGTGATCACTGTAGTTTCTATACATTTATATTCTAGAGAATGTAGATAAATCTAAAAGACATGCCTGTGTAGCTAATCAGTATTTCATTGATTGATTGGTTTGTTTTTTACGGCTTATCAACACTTTGCAGGTTATTTAAAGCCAGAAAATATTTTTAGATTGTAATAATTTCTTTGAGATAATAATGATTTAGTGATACAAGTCTTACTAATTAACCCATAGCCGGGGGAGAAGAAGTGGATAGATATCTTTCCTTAGAAGATTTGCGCATAAGTAAATATAATGAAACCAACTGGCTTTCCGATTTCCAATGAAACAAGAAAGGAGGGTTTGGCGAATATGATACTCACAGGGCGGATAGAGGGAAAAAGACAAGGGAAAGCAACGCGTGACATACATAGCGAGCCTAAGCAAGTGGATGACAGGACAGATTTTGGATGAAGTGTCAAAAGGACAAAACATACTGAGAACTAAAATGGCTAGGGGAAGTGGAGGGCCATGATCGCCTACGCCATGAATGGACAGGCACATAAAAGAAGTCCATTACACCAGCTGTACATCCAAGCTTACAGCACATGGTATTGCCAAGCGGTCGCCCATCTAGATACTGACCGGGCCTTAAGTTGCTCAACTCGTACGGTGATCGTACGGGAACTCGGCTCCCCGATCAATTATTCCGAGCCATTATCAATTACAGCACCAGCACATCCAAACTGATAGCACCTGGTATTCCCAATCGGTCACCTATTTAAGTACTGGCCAGGCTCGACGTTGCTTAACTTCGGTGTTCGGACTCAAACTCGACTCTCCGATTAATAATTCCGAGCCATTATCCATTACAACACGTACATAGAAGCTTACAGCACCTGGTATTTTCAAGCGGTCACCCATATAGGTACTGACCAGGCTCGACATTGCTCAACTTCGGTGATCCTACGGGAACTCGCCTCCTCGGTTAATAATTCCGAGCCATTATCCATTACAACACCCACACATCCAAGCTTACATCACCTGGTATTTCCAAGCCGTCACCCATTTAGGTACTGACCAGGCTCGATGTTGCTCAACTTCCATGATCGTACGGGAACTCGGCTTCCTCATTAATAATTCTAAGCCATTATCCATTGCACCACCCACACATCCAAGCTTACAGTACCTGGTATTTCCAAGCGGTCACCCACCCTGGTATTGACCAGACTCGACATTGCTTAACTTCGGTGGTTGTACCAGGATCCGTTTTAATGTAATATGGACAGGATCCTTGAGGATTGACAATATTTTCAAATAGTTTTTTATGATAGTTTCCCCATAGTATTTTTGGTGCTAAGTGAATACTTTCAATTAAAATGTCTTTCAAAGTCAATGTGTCTTTGCATATTCTACATGTTGGTTGGTCTTTATTCTTCAGCAAGCATGGATGGGTGAGGTACGTGTGGCTTATGTGCAGTCGAGCTAGATGTTTCGGTCTTCAATAACCCAGAAAGTGTTGATAAACCGTCAAAATACAAATGATTCAATTCCAAAAAGGTCGTATATAAACGAGGCTCAAATGTTTAGAACTGTATCCTTCTCACTTGAAAGATAAAATAATATTCCTACAATATTCAAATCCGTAATTAACTTTTTGTCAAGAAGCCAACATCCAAATCGGCGGCTGATTTGTTTATGGTACAAAGGGCACGAAAAGATCTCAGCCTGACCAAGAAATACCTGCCTCTATATCTCTGAGATGAGGTATTATGATTACTTGTATTATTTACATTATTTGAACTGTTATCCTCATCTTCATTGCCATATTCACAACGTTTTGACCGTCGTATGCTCCGGCCTTCTTCAGGTGATTGGAATTTCGAACTGAGCCCTTAATTTCGTTGGCCGGGGTAGATTGTTAGTTCCACGTGCCATGTCTCTTTCGGATGTTTCAAGTATATTTCCCTTTAACTTAAATTTTGGTTCACCACTGCTGCTCTTTGTTTCTAGTCACTGGATCTAACCAACGTCTTTATCCACTGAGCACTGTGTATGAATTTTTGGGACCTATCTACTCCGGTGGTTCAAAATTCCAATTAGCTGGAGAAGGCCGGAGCAAAGTCAAAACACAATAATAAAAATGATGCGTATATATAGCTGATATATTATTTTCCGGTTAGGTCTAGTTCTGTGTAACCGTTTTATATATGACTTCACTTATATGAAACTCATGTGTGTGAGGGAATGTGCGTGTGTTTGTGTGTGTCTGTGTGTGTGCATGTGTGTGTGTGTGTGTGTGTGTGCGTGGAATGATGGATATGACCCGATACGGTCTTCGTAGCCCATCTGTAGCACCCTTTCTTTATTAAGGTTTCTCGAATCCGCAAGGTGGTAGACGTAATACACACTGCTTATACCGCTATATCGAGCAGACAATTAGATACAAATACGTATATATAAGTTTGTCCCACACAGAGAAATTGTAACATATATGAGTAAAATCGAGAGGTGTAAGGTGTAATATTTTCTCGAAGAGAAAATGTCAAGGCCGTTGGTGCTCTTGTATTTCTTGTATTGGGATCATCTGATTTTCCCCGTCTGCCTAACTGTCACTGTCACATGTGTTTCGATCCCTTACGGTCGACATAGAATCACTGCTCTTTGTTCCTCCATGTACACTGCTGGTGGAGCGAACATGTTTACACTGTAACAAAAAAAAAAAAAAAAAAATGAAGCGATCAAAGTCAATTTATTCAGAATGTGCTGAGCGTTCGACTCTTAAAACGCATGAGGATAGTTACGTATGCAAATGGCTAACTTCCCGCCTCATAGGACTGAGCAGAATAACAGGCGAGTTCCATAAGTTTTAATTCTAAGACGAGCAAAGTCACCATCATATTACAGACGTTTCAGTTGCATGCCTTCAAGTTGGCGACCTTTCATTCATTTTGTCGTGTTCGTTACACTTGTCAAAAAAAAAGTAAAAATAAAAATAAATAAATAAATAAATAAATGAATAAATAAAATAAAATAAAATTGAAATGGTGTCTAGACTCCAAATATGAATTTAACTAATTTCAGGGCACTGAATCCGAAAATGACCTTACTTTTTCTTGGTTAGCCACCGTTTTTTCTAATTTACAATCATTTCTAGGGCTCGCGAGTTATTATAATCGTTATGTGTCAAACATGCATGAATTTAGAGCGCCTTTAAATAAATTATTGAAAACGTCCGGTGTGGAAATGAAATTAATATCTTGTAGACATAAAGAACATTTTAACATCTAAATTATTGTTAACGCATTGCAATCCTGATTTTAAAATAACACCGGTCAACAAAAAAAAAAAAGAAAAATTGAAATCATGTCGAGATACCAAACATTTTTTAGCTAGCTTTAAATCTGAAAATGACTTTATTTTTTTTGGTTAGCTACCGTTTTTTGCTGTACAGAAATGCCTCATTTTGGAGAAAAAATATATATATATATATATATATATATATATATATATATATATATATATATATATATATAAGCAAATATATGGATATAGATCCGACAGTATGAAGAAAATATACTGAAAAAACAAACAAAAATCCTACTATGCGATTATGCTGTTTTAATGTTTAATATCAACGTCGGACGTTTCGGTCTAATAGACCATTTTCATAATAAAAATCTTAAGAGGATTTATGAAGCAGGCATAATATCTATCTCACGCACGGTGAGCACTACACCTGGCTTCTTTAATATTTCCTCTTTTCTAGCAAGATTAATGCTCGACAAACGTACATATAAGTTTTAGATCAAAATAAATTCTTTTCGTTTTTCATTCAAAATACTCAAATTTCATGAATACGTTTTCACAACGTCGCCCACGTGACGACGACGTGATCATATTTAAACGGAACGCTGATCTTATAAAAGATTTCAGTTATCTGTTTGGATTGGTATTGCTTTTATGTCCATCTTTTTCATGTTGAATTTTATATGGTCTATGTTAATTATATTTTATGAATACGTCCTGAAGATGGTCTATTAGAACGAAACGTCCGACGTTGACATTAAACATTAAAACAGCATAATCGCATATTAGGATTTTTGTTTGTATTTTCAGTATATTTTCTTCATATATATATATATATATATATATATATATATATATATATATATATATATATATATATAATATTGAGCAATGGCAATATTTCTCAAAATGAAATCGTAGAAACCTCTCAATTCGTATTTAAACCAACAAATATTGGTCTGCTTATTGAGAAATACTTTTTTGCAATGACAATCAGACCCTAAGTCGTTAAAAATAACACGACTGAATATACCAAGACCAACAAGTATTTTCATCAAATCATTTAATAAACTAACAGCAGAAATAAAACCTTCGTGAACGTAAGAACTATGATAAAAATGTTCTCTTTCTTGATTGTCTGTCATGTTCAATGTTATTTAAGTCCCTTTTGATACTCTAGCAGTATCATGTACAATGGAATAGGTGCATTCAATTGGGATGTCTTTAGTTGGAGTCTCTTTCCAAGTGTGAAAACTCTCAATATGCTTGCTTTCCTTCCGTAGTGAAGCGATAAAAGTGATAGGATAAGTTTATAAATATCAAACAGATTTTAGTATTTCATTGTTTTGAAGTCACCTTAATTATCAGGTTTACTAAAGTATATTACTAATAAAGTTTATCAGTTAATTTGAATTTTGACGACAAATTGGAAAACTTCGGTATATCTATTTTAAAATTTTTGACTCAAAAACCCTTTTTTTCTTGTAAAAATAGTTTATATCAGGTGGCTGAGTTAAATTGCTCGGCCTTCCTGAAAATTGATGGGTTTCGATGAGTAAATTTTGCGATCAGCCAAGACCGTAAATTGATCTTTTTTCCAAAAATGAGCAACTTCAGTACAGCAAAAACGGTAGCTAACCATGAAAAACTAATGCCATTTTCGGAATCAGCACCATGAAATTAGCTAAAAAATGTGTTTTGTTTTCTTGGCACAAAAAATCGTGTTGACCAGTGTATCAGTAAATCCGTTTTTTTGAATTACACTCGTAAATAGTCATAAGAGAAATGATATCATGGAAAAGTTTATGGGGCTGAAATAGATAGATAGATAGATAGATAGATAGATAGATAGATAGATAGATAGATAGGCAGGCATAGGAGAAATGATATGCAAAAGTGAAAGTGATACGTTATTGTATCCTTTAGAAGAGACGATATTTAAACCCTTTCCATCAAATAGAATATTCTTCTAAAAGATGGTGTTTCTTTTTTCTTTTAACAGCTTTACCCGCTGCTCAGACTTCATCATGAATCGCTACATGAACCGATTCCGTAATTGGTACGGCAACAACTACAGGGGTAGATACAGGGGTATGATGGAACCCATGTCCAGAATGACCATGGACTTCCATGGAAGATACATGGACTCCCAGGGCAGAATGGTCGACCCCAGATACTACGACTACTACGGAAGATGGTACGACTACGACCGTTACTACGGAAGACCCATGTTCAATTACAGCTGGATGATGGACGGTGACAGGTACAACAGGTACTATCGCTGGATGGACTTCCCCGAGAGGTACATGGACATGTCTGGCTACCAGATGGACATGTACGGACGCTGGATGGACATGCAGGGACGCTATTGCAATCCGTTCCGTCAGTGGTGGTACTACAGACACGGTTATTATCCCGGCTTCCATTACGGCAGCAATATGTTCTACCCTGAGAGATGGATGGACATGTCCAACTATTCCATGGATATGCAAGGACGCTACATGGACAGGTGGGGAC